AGTTCCATCATACTCCAGCATCATATAATAGTCAATGCAAATATAAGAATCCTTGTTTTATTGCTGACATGCGGCCTGGGCCTGTGGACACTGTGGCAGCTGGCCTTTGTTCTTCAATTCAGAGAAAGATAAAGGTGATGAAAGTAGCTAGCAAGGAGCCATGAGACTCAGTAGAACAGGGCAATAGTTGAAGAGCACAAGATTACGGTTTAATTTCTTCGATATTAAGACTACTTTTCCATATTATTATTCCAGTTTAACGAGAAACCCAAACCATAGGCTTAGGCTGGAGTTCAAAAGGAGCCGCACAGCTGTTCAACTTTATGGTTGTATAGAAGTGTTCAGTCTTCATCTGTAGCAAACATTTCTAAGCCAGTTTGCTCCTCAGCTAAACACTCACATGACTTGCAGCTGGGTAAGTGATAGTGATTGTCAAGCATTTTAACTCACTGACAGCATGAGCGTGATTTTTAATGTATAGCTCAGTGGCCTACTGTAACTATTCATGCTAGTAATTCAGTTCAGGTCATAAATTTTAAAACAAAAAAGCAAAAAAAGCAAAAGGGAAAAATACACCTTTCGCTAGCACCCATTGGTGCTATTACTATTTCAAATAGTATATTAGCGCTAAGCGGATTTACATTTTTTTGGCCATTCTACATTAAACATAAACGTTTGAAGCTTGAAACAGAATGGAATATATATTTTAACCTTGTAGTGTATCGCAGTTTTAGAGTGACTCCTTCAGTACAGAGCCCTGGCATAGAGCTGCTGCTTGTTTTTCAATTCTAACAGCTGACTGAAACCTGGTTAGACTACTGCTCATATTTGTAGTCAGGAACGTATAGGACATCCAGAAAGACAGGAGTGATGTTTTTTCTCACTAAATTTGTCCCACCCTTTGGAAATCAAAATATGACTGGTTTATTCCACTGTCACTTCCTTAAATAACATTGGTAGTTAATCTAATGTGTAAGGCCTTTTGTCCAGGTCCCGAAATCCTAACCAATAGGAGAGGTTATTTGGCTGTATCTACCTAGATTCCAGGAGGGAGAAAAATCCTGAGTGGACAATTTTCCACAGGGCATTGCAAGATTTTAACCCTTTTTGTTTGCAACCAAAACTTAACATGACTTAAGACTTGACTACAATACTTGCAGAACATAAATACAATAAGTACAATGATGGAGTAAAAATAAAGATTACAGACATATGAGTGCACTGAAACCTAACTAATCAAGTGCTTTGTGGAATTCTGCTGTGATTACGTTAACAATCACAAACAACATACTTAATTACAATTAGAATTAGAATAACGTAGAACACAGTGGGAGTTGTTTTAGTCTAAAATCATTTGGAGACCAAAATGTAGTGATTTCATCAGTGCAGTCAAGAGTTTTGGTTGGTTAAGTCAGTTCATGTCCTGCAGTGGTTTCTTCTTATAATTAAAATGTGGGTGATATATGGCCTGGCCATGCTGTCTGCCAGGGACCAGATTGGGACAGAGAGGATAGTAGTTCTCTGTGCTGAGAGTTTGGGAGTAAACTGTGCTTAGTTTCTGTGGTTAGCTCACAGCATTGAATTTGAGTTTGTGGTCTACTGTGTATTGTCCTTTATTGAACTCATTATGGTTTATAAATGCTGTGACATGCACTTCTCCTTTGGAGAGCTGTGGATGGATGTCCTTTTGTTTGAAGGAAGGTGGAGCAAGCAGGGACGTATATTAGACATCTGATCTCGGGCTGTCCTCTGACAGACCAGCTCTTACTGCCTTTCTCCTGTGCGATTTATGTTGGCATGCTGCTCCGGTGTCTGACTGGGATCACCGCGCTCCTTCCAAAACAGGAAGACCTCTGTGACACTGATAGAAAAAAAAATCAGACAAGTTCGGGTTCCTGGAGCACTGGCGCGGCAGGCCTGGGCCTGATAAAATTCCCCAGCAGCAGGCGCGCCCTGCTCCCATCTTGCCGGACAGAAGGTCTGTCTTGAGAGGCACAGACAGGAAATGGTGGCGCAAAGCACCGTTTCCTGAACCAACCACTACATCCGAGGGAGCCTCCCTCCAGGGTCAGTGAGCAGAAGTGAAGCAGCCTCTGTTGGGAACTGCATAAGACCCTGAGTCACTGCTTCTGCAGCCTGACCTTTCTGCTGGGTTTGTTTTACTACTACATGGCCCCTGAGCTGGGCACTAATTTCAGATTAGGGCTTTGAGTAGGTTTTCTGAATCTTACACAGAACAGAAAAAAAGAAGAAGCAGTGTACTCTCAGAACACTAACTTTTACAGTACCAGTTTCTTAAACTATAGTCCATCAGTATACAGTTGCCAGTATTCATACACCTACAGTGGCCAGTTTATCAAGCATACTACCATATATGAAAGAGATCACTGTAGGACCAACGCTGGCCAGATATCATGCTGTGGTGGATCATTCTCAGCAAAGCAGTGACACCAACATAGTGTGTATTAAGCTGGTACAAGTGTGTCAGACACAGCGGTGGAAAGGGGTTTATAAACACCTAAATATCAGTTTCATTCAGAGTGGTCCTGTGGCCAGCAGTGGTCCTGTGGTCAGAAACTGAGCACTGGCGAAGGACTACAGGATGACTAACACAAATTGTGCATGGGAAAAAGATGAGCATGAACTGTAGTCTCTAACCTTAGCCTTACAAGATGTTGGTGTGTCTACTAAAGTAGCCAGTAAGTGGTTTGTGTGTGTGCGCTTGTGTCCACTGTAAGAACGCTTTTTCCATTTTGAGCTGCTGCTTTAGGTTCTTGTTTGTTATGTTTTGTTTGTGGGATGTTTGTGACTTGTTTTGAACTTTCTCTCTGGCCCAGGAGTTTTCCTCTGTTGACAGAGAGCCGACTATCATGATAAGGAAATTTTAGCTGGTGATTAATTGACATATAAATGACTGCATTAAACAATTTGTCTTCTTTTGTTCATTGTGTGTAGCTGTTAAAGAAAGGGCTTAAAGTGCTTAAATTTGCTGATTAGCTACCCTGCACCCTAGCTGCCCTTACTTAGCTCTCAACATTGAGCTGGAGCTCAAATAAACAAACATTACTCATTGCTGCCTTCTAAAGGTGTTATAGCACCATTCAGAAATGAAAACTTTTGTTCTTTTCATAAGACCCATAACGAGTCTCAAACATGGTTTTCTGTTGTCTTTTATTCACATGTGCTTGTTTTGGTCCAACGGATAAACAAACCACATTCACATTGTGCTTGTGATGTAAAGCATGTTATTGTGAAAGCTAACAACTTTAAATTGTTGTTTAACAATTGCAGTCAAATAACGATTTGCGATCAGACAATTATGTAATAATTAAGACAATGCTAACTGGCCAAGAGTTTTTGCACCATGGCAGCAAAATTTGACTAAGCCGCAAGCTGGGAAACTATACAGCGTAGTTGGGAGAGTTTTCCCCCTGCTGGGGAACTGTGTGCGATGTTGTGGGTGTATTTTTGTTAACTGCTGACCAGCATTTCTTTGGTTTGAGAAAGCCATTATATAAAATACAATTACTTTAGTATTCTTATTTATTATTACAATGTTTAAAAAACCCAGCAATGCTGCTGTGACTGATACACTCATGTCAGCCCAACACCCACTAATATGACACTACCATGTTGGTATCACTGCTGTGCTGTGGGAGCACATCAGTTATCAAGCACACCTACCATATAGAAAAAAAGAGATCACTGTAAGACCAATGCTGGCCATTATCCAAATCTCTAGCACTGCTCCTATGATGATCTGTATTTATTGACTGACATGGTAGGGGGTGACTGTGAGTTTGGGTCTAACCTACCTGGTTCTTATATTCAGGTGCCCCTGAAGCCTCCATTACTTGGATCAGGTATTTTAGACCAGCCAAACTCGGCAGAGTGGCAGATCGCTAGGACCAGGATTAGGCACCCCTGGGCTACAGTAGTTGTGTATCTACAAAGTGCACTGATATGGCAGGTGCACTTGACACAATGACCAAAAGGTGTAGGTACAAGATAATCATGTTAAATAAAATGGCAATTTAGAATAGGATAGGTCACTGCTGGACTAATGTGTTCGGTATTTACATATTATACATAGAGATGAAGTAAAGTATATTTGGGGAAATGTAACAACTACATGAACGTTAGTCAGTACATCAATTGAGAAAGTATCAGCCAAGAATTGTGATTTAGCAACGTGTTCAGTCAATAAAGTGACACAGACTGGATTAAAAGATTGAACTGACTGACCGAACTGTTAAATAGGTGAAAGGGTGGTGATCACACGCTTATGATTAATTCATCCAGTGACTTCATATTTGACCTTTCCCTGGACGATGTGCAGCCTAGCTTGCTGTAAGAGCAAATGGTTGGAGATGAAAGCCTCCTTGTTGGTGAATGAGTGCCTCGTTTCCGCTGCGTCACTTCTCATTAGAGAGATGACCAAGTGGATTACATGCTATGCTGGGCCCTGCCTAAAAAAAAATCTGCTGCTACCACCACTCCTCAAAATACACGTTTACATATGTGTATATACCAACACAAACGCACACTGCCCACTTTGCTGATGTGTCAGCAGTCAGCAATTGGCCTTCATTCAAACCTGAAGGCTGATATAGCATATGGGGTACCGTAGGCTTACAATAGTCTGGCAGATGCTCACAGTTTAACCAAATAATGCTAATGTGACTAACTTTGAATGAACACTGAGTGAGTATAATCGGTAATGACAGAGATTTCTATTTTATATGTGATTTTATGACAATTTGTCTTTGACAGGTACATCTAAAAGCCAAGATGTTTCATTTTAATTTTAGGTGGTATGGCTACAGCTTGGATGCAGATGAAAAACGTTTTGCGCTCTGATGTTAAAGTGAATGAGTAAGACGTTCAGTATCATGTTCTTCATATTACACAGAGTAGACGGTGTATCGCTGGGTCATTTCAACATAAAAGCAGTCTCAGAGCCTTTTCAGCAGGTAGAAGTCAGCAAAAAAGACAAAATAGATGTTACCATTGTCTTTGGTTTACTTATGTAATGTGATTGGTTGACAATTTTTGATATTTTGTTTAATCAACTTTATAATTACAGGGACCAATGAATTCTATCTTCTCTGAAATCACAGTTTATTTTTCTGCCCACTCAGTAGTGAAGGTCATAAATGTCATTTTGTAGGCTGATTAAACAGTACTACAGTAGTTTTACAGCACCCTTGTGTAGGACAACATTATTAGGTCTATATACTACACAGAGCCAGCAGAAGTGGCAGTTTTAAACAGAAAAAAAGGCATATACATCTTAGATATGGTTGTAACTAGCTAGTGTCAGTAAGGAATATTCTGTACCCTTAGAACACTAACAATCCAACTAATTCCAACTTCTTAAACACTAGCAGGGTCAAAATACAATATATTGCAGCTAGCTTTTTTTCCTCAGTCATTTGCAGCAGCTGGAGAGAGTTGAAACTGAGTATTTATTCACCAGCTCTGTTAATAATAAAATGGCATTTCTGTAATGTGATATTATTTCACATTCTTGGCATACAGCATGTTGCACGTCTCCAGTTTTTTAGTACTCTGATAGACACACGGACTTTAAAGAGAAATTTCACTGATTTTTTTCAAAGTCAGTCAGAGTGGTTTGATTGGAAGTGCTTACCCACTTCTGATTTCTTTACAGTTGCGATGTCTCCAAAAAAAAATATAGGCATGGATTTGCTATCCAAACCTACCAGCGCACCTACACGCCTTCAAATATTTTATATACTACGTAGGGGTAAATCTGAAAAAAAAAATGTTTTCTTTGGGTACTATTTTGCCTTAAAATGCAATGCATACTCCTCTCCACCATGAATGTATTTTTAAAAATGCGTTTCAGGCCAAAACTGTATTTCAAAACTATCATAACACAATTGTAAAATGTCTCAGGCATCAGGCAACGTTTGTAAACATTTTCTGTAACAGCGAGTGAGGCGGCTTTTAGAGACACTGAATGCTTCAGCTTTCTGGTTCCTATCACCACTGTTGTGCAGAAATTGCTCCAAGTTCCTCTAGAATGGTGCATTTCACATCAAACCACTCTGACTTTGTTTAAACTGTAATGAATAAATATACAGATATTTTCCTTTTTAAACAACAAAATATCTTTTGTATTTGTCATCTATGCCAGGTATGTACACCCCTGAGCATTTACAGAAATAATAGTTCCTTAAGATTTCTTTAGAAAAGGCAATGGTTCCATATAGAACCATGAACTCTCAAAAAATCATGTGAATGCATACATGGTTCTTTGCATGGTTAAATGGGTCTTCTCTAGGATATAAAACCTGTTGTATATGGTTCTTTAAAGAACTTTTATGAAAATGGTTCTGCATAGCAGTGGTTCTCAGACCACTTCTCAGGGACCCCTAAAGAGCCCACATTTTGCTGTGTTTCTAAGTGCTGCAAGCTGGGTTGTAGCAAAAATCTGGACTGCCTGGGGGGGCAGTCCCTGAAGACTGGTTGGAGAACCACTACGACAGCACCAAAAAGGGTACCGCTACTGTTACAAGTTTAAAAAAAAAAAAACAACTTTTTTTGTACTTTAAATGTTCCTGACGTCTAAATGATTACCACTTAAAGTAATAAAACTTTAAGTGAATAAATAGGTAATGGTAAGTTAAACAAATATGCACACAAACAAAACAAACCAAACAAACTAAACGTAAGTGTGAGAAGAAAGATATGTAGAACTGAAAGAGCATGTGACGGCCATGGCTGTTTGATTGTTCCAGCCTTGTTTAAATGACTAATAAACAAACTGCCTAGTAGCTTTGTTAACGGTGGAATAGTGCTAAATAAAGTAAGTTTTGCACAGAATATGAGTGCCTTAACAAGAGAGAAACATTAACAACATAGAAATGTTCACTTAACACTATGTGCCATTTATACTAACATGTTATGAACATTCACCTACAGCTAAAGCAATCAACACAAGGCATTGTACCAGATAATTCTATATTACAGATACTTGCAAGGTTCATGTTAATTCTTTACAGCTCTATAACTAAAGACAAAAACTTGTTCTGAGTATGTGGCAGGAAGAGTCATGCACAGACGCTACTTTCACACACAGCTCCAAGTCTGTGCCATCTTCAACTTAGAGGCAGACTGGTGGACATGGCTGTTAATAAGGATGGGATTTAATATACAGCTGGTTATCAAACAAGATCAGAGTTAGCAGGGAAACGTACCGCACGTTCCCCTGCACCACAGACATTACATTTATAAATACTGTATATTAACCGAAACATTCAAGGAGCATGTTAAAAGTGGGAGAACTTGGCAAGATCCTTCTTCATCTCACTGTACTGCGTGCTAAGTCTGCCCACAGCTTTAGTATGCTCCTCATCCACCTCCTCCTTCAGTCGAGTCTGCTCCTTTAGGAACTCTTCCCAGTCCACTCTTCGCCTCTCCACATACTCCTGCAGACGTGTGCTCTGTGTGCAAACATAAATGAATCATAGAGCAGTTTTGGTAAGCAGAAAAGTACTAACTTATTTATATTTTTTTTTAATTAGTTTAGTATTTTATAGATCTTTGTGGAAATTACGCAATTCATTCATAATTAATTAATTAATTAATCTGAGGCAATTTGAGATTGTTGAGAAGTTACCAATGCTTCTAAAGAACAGTACCATTTACATGCAAACTGTGGATGTTGATTTATCTGCAGCCTTCTCTTGAGGCAAGCAATAAGAACACAGGACAAGTTTTCAAACTTACATTCTGGGCTTCCAGCTCCCTCTGCTGGATCCTTTGTGTCATATGATTGGCAGCTTCCACTTCATAAAAGAAAGATTTTCTTCCATTACTAATTAATGCAAAAACTGTGCCATGCTAGGTTGTGACTTTCTCACTAGGAAAGCTGTTATGTGCTTAAAATCACTAAGTACAACAATTCTTTAGGGTTGATTTCTTAGACATAGACAAAGCCTTCTGTAGGACTAAATTGAATGTCAATGTTGAGTTACCATTGAAAAACCTTTTAAGTCTCAGGCTTGTGTCAGGCTTAATTTGGGTTCTGGAAGCTGGCCCTTGAAAACTAATTTCCAATGATTAAGAAATCCAGGACCGGAAACAGGATTCAAGTCCAAATTGGAAGACCTATGTCTTGCATTTCACATTTCTAAATGTAACTAATCAACTAAATTAGGGATGGGCATTTCAGAATTTCTAAGGCATTATTAGAAATATATTTGAATAATTACCTAAAATAAACCTTTACTCTTAAGATAACAGACTACCACAACAGATGCATCTGACAAAACACAGCATGCAGTACGGCTGAACGATATGGGGGAAAACGTCTAGTTGTAATTTTTCTGACCAATATTGTGACAAATTGAAATTATGATTTTATTGTACAATGTAAGGTCCAGGTCTGTTTTTTTCTTTGGCCAAGAACACCAGCACACCCAGTTTTCTGGCTTGAGGCTTGAATGCTGTTCTGAGACTGGCAGTTATTTGTGGTTGTGATGTCATGTACACCACATATGGGTGTTTTGTTGCTTCTCATTTGTCTGTAGAGTTCGGACAGCTCATGGTTCAGAGCTAAAAACAAGAGAGAATCTAATTTGCATCTCAAAAATCCTAAATTACTTTTGTTCCTATTCAAATATTCTGACCCAACTAAACTAAGAACTGTCACTAGCAATAAATGCAGATTATATATGAGTAACGTAGGTTTAAATGAAGAGCTTTTTACTACCATGCCTCAGAATAAACAACAGTATCCTTTGAAAACCATGTAGGGAAACAGTAACTGCAGCAAAAGAATCCAAACAATACTATCTGCATTCAGCCCATAACAGCTGCACCTACAGTTCTTTCATTTTGTGACACAAATAAACAAATATACAGCAGTACACATACATCGGGTAAATATGTCACATAAATTGTCCTGCATGCACTCTGTGTATTTGGGCAGTACTTGTTCGTTGGTCTCAGCCACCATCTTGTTCAGGTTTTCTAGCAAACGGCACTCCCTAAAGCCACGTTTCTCCTGTAGAGAAAAAAAAACATTAACTACAGCTGAACGGAAGAAATGAATCTACATCTCTCCCATACACATACACACATGCAGAAGCTCTTTACATTGAACTGCCAGTTTTGTAAATATTTGTACTTTTGTAATTACGAGTGGAAAAGTCCCCCTTACGTTCCAAAATGGTTGATAGTTGTACTTGTATTGTAAACTGGTTGTATTTTAGTTATTCAGCAGCCACACATGAGCACTGCTGGCTAAAGTCCTTTTTAATGTCTTACTCTCATCCACATGCAAAAAAAATGGATATGAGCATAAGCTACGCTACTCTCTTAGATCTAATGCACATCTTCTTTGACTAAAGAAAAACTAAACTAAACCAAAAACATTATTCCCAGCACATTAGGCCTTGGCAGTATCTATAATTGAACTCATCTGAACCACCAGGACACTTAAGATGTACAGAATATGCTGCAAACTTTTTCTGTGAAGGTAACATAGAGAGTGAGGAATTTACTCTAAAGTTGCCTAGTGGGTTTTTAAAGCCCCATATTAGCCCAGTGTTTAAACAATAAAACTGAATAAAACATTATGTGTGCCTATTATTTAAAATTATTTAGCAAGCTGTTTAAATTTCCTCTCTAGTTCTCTGTTGGGTCTCTTTCCCAAAACAGTGATTATTGCCTTTTAACTTTGTTTCTAAAGAGCCTGAGATGGAGAAAATATTAGAATGTAATCAAGAGAAGAACATTAACTGAAGTTACAGACTGAGCTATGAATGGAATAAACATCAGCATCAGTGGATCAGAGGGAAATTCTGTAGTGACACACATAGTCTCAGCTCTTTCTCCTGGAGCTAAATACTCCTTCACTCTGTACCCTGTATCCAAGAGAGTGGAGAGCAGCGGATACACCTTTACCAGTGTCACCAGTAAGTGTGGCCACTATTAAAGTGGAACAACTTATAATTAGATATCTGTCAGTCTTAAATCACAGTTTACAAATGAATGAATGTCAGAGTAATTTTAAATGTTTGGCAAAACATTTGAGTTATTTTTTAACCAATAGCAGTCCTTCACGTTTCATCAATTTTGGTATCAATCTTGTTTCCACCTCTGCCTCTCTGTCTCTTTCTTTCTCTCTCGCCAGCAGTTTACTTGCCAATCACTGATGATATCCGAATACATCATTAATCCATGAAGTCATGCTGTTTGGTGACAACAGTACCGGTCAGTGGTGGCAGTGTGATAATAAAAAGAATGTTTCTCTGGCACACATTAGGACCCTTAATACCCAATGAAGACCACTTGTACAGCACGTGCTATCTAAACCTAACTATACACTAATTATGGTGGCAAAACACAAGAGAAAGAACCTCACCTCAAATTCTCTTACAAAGTACCTGATCTCCCCCTGTAGGACTGGTCTGTGGTCCAGCAGCCTGGACTGAATGTCACCAACATCTGTGAAACAAGCACACCATCAAACACAGCAGTCTAAATTTGTTATATGAAATCTGAAAATGACTGATTAAAACAAACTTCAAACATCTTAGAGCTTCTTGATTTTAAGGTCAAGATATCCAAATACAGATTTTACAAAAAATATTTTAGGCCTTCTTTATGAGGCTAATTTCCGAAGGTGAACCCCATCCGAGTAAAATTTTACTGTGACTGTAAAGAGGATTCTTAACTAGTCCTTATTTGGCACACGTCTAAAAATTAAAATGACTTTCTAATTAATAACGACGTTTTGAAATATTTTGGTTTCGCGATAAATATTTTAAGCATCGGTTATCCCTTACAAATTCGACTGACTCAGGTCAGTCAGTCTCAGGACCACCTCTAATTAACCGAGACCATGACTAGTATACATGCATACTGTAGACTGCATGTTGTCGTTCTTAAAGGTTCGCATAGGTTCAAGTGCCCAGTGTGCATCTTATCCAATCATTAGTCCACCTATTCTATAATCACCTTTTAATCATTTTAATGTTAGTCATTAGTTTATCTCCGTATAATCTCTCTGCTTAATTTTCCCTGTGAATCTCTACGAATTGTATCATTATTCCACTATGGCTTTTTAAATTAGATTAGGGTTGAGTTAAATTAGATTAGGGTTGGTTCCTCGGTCTTTCTTTATGTCCTTTGCTCTTTGAGAGTTTTTCCTGATATTCACTGAGGCCTTAGATTCATTAGCTTCACGGAACTAGCTAGCCAAAAATGTAAGAGTCAATCTTATTTTTTGTAACATTAACATACGCTTACTTTCGTCCCTCTTTCGATGGATTAAGTTGTTTTATATTTATTAAATTTAACTAACTTTACGTACCTTTGGTTATTTTGTCCATGGTCACGAGAGTCACGAGACGTCAATCTCTCTCTCTCTAGAATTAGGCGTACGAGTAACGTTACACAAAACTAGCTATAGCATTATAATCGATGAATTCAGCCGCCGTTTCCTCACAACACACTAAATTCATTAAGTCCTTTACATTATCGCGTCAAAAAATGTTCAAACCGGCAAGGTAAATAGCAATAACTACTTTGACAACATTCTACTGCCCATACCAGCGAACCAAATTCATTTCAAAATAAAAGTCTCTATTGGCAGTATTGCTGCTGGATTCATGAGAAGTACATGGTTTTGTATTTATCCTGCACACTAACGTGTTCAGTCTTCTGTGCTCCCTGGTTACTGCAGTGTTAAACAAATGAGTTCAGAATGCTGGAAGAAAGACTACCTCAGAATGTCACACCAAAAATAATTTTAAAGAAATGTAATAATATTGAGCAATTATAATTGAAATATGACAATTATTGTTTATTGACTGACACAATCTATTTATTAAGGTGATTTACTCTACGGTATTATTCATTAAGTCTGTGTCCATTTTATGGTGCATTCAGACAGTGAGCTCAGAAAATTGTCAAGGCTTTAAATTATCAAAAAAAGTACTGTCTTGTGACCTGTAAACTCAAGGAATATGTAACTTGCTTGAATTTACCACTTACATTCATGACTTTAGCTGCTATTCAGATGCAACTTTATTGTTGTAACAGGGTTTGCATGCTTACCATTTTCATATTCCAGGACTGTCCATAAGGTATCCAGTACCAACAAACAAAAAATTCAGATTCAAAAGTTAAGTCTTCTAGTTTTTAAAATCCACAGCAAAATGACACCGACCTAATATGAACAGATTTAAATTCTAATCTGCTCTTTTAATGTATCAGTAAAAAAACTCAGGCCGTTCAGATGGACTTTAGATGGACTTTTGGGCTGGCAAGAGCTCATGTTGCCACTGCTAGCATTTTGTCATCATTGTGTTTGTATGTGATCAAGGAAGGTTGTGGAGAGACTTAAATGGTTCTTTGCATGGTGAAATGGTGTTCAGGTTGATGGAAAATGTGTTATGTGGTTCTATATGGAACCCTTTTAGAAATGGTTTTATATAGCACCAACAAGGGTTCTTCTATTGTTACTATGTCAAGCTTATAACAATAGAAAAACCCTTTTTGGTGCTCTATAGAACCACTGTCAACGCATTTTCCATCATCAAATGTCACTATGCTTTGAACCATCTAAGCATGCAAATGGCTCTTTTTGTGTTTATGGTTCTACACTGAACCATTGTCTGTACTAAAGAACCCTTGAAGAATCACCTTTTTTAAGAGTGTAAGCTACTTTTCTATAACACTCTAACTACAATACTGTCATTAAATAGCTTGAAGTAGCTAGAGGTCAACATTTTGGTGATGTCAACAATGTGCAGTTGAGTCCTTGAGAGTGTTAGGTTTATAAGTGTGTTTGGGACAGACTTGTGTGATGTCCAAGTTCTGCATGTGTGGTACCTGGCGGCTATAGTCATTGATTTATTTAACAAATGGATTTTAACTCATTTCATAATCTTTTTCTCATGTAAGTCAAGAAATTTTGGGTAAGGGGTTGCCTCTGAGATCACATCACTGCGGTTCTCACCAAAGGGTGCACTCGCTAAAGAGTGGACTTAAAAGAAGCTTGTGAGCACCCTTCTGAACAAATACAGTTCTTGCATGCAAGTGTAATTAAAGATCACAAGGCTACAAGTGTGCTAGTTGAGATGGGGCTATACTGTTGTGTTTTTCTTTTTTTGCATAATGGTTTTCATTATTATTTATTTTTATAATGATGACCTTTCAGGAAGTTCCAAATTAAGAGATTTAACCAACTGGAGGTTTTGTGACTTTCACTGACTTTAGTCCACTGCTAGGGACCCTAAATGGAATGCAGGCCTGAACTATCCTAGGATTGTGCCCTTGTAACATTTGAAATTTATCATAAACTAAATGTGGGTACTTTGACACAAATACGTTTTGGGCCATATGCTCTTGTTAGTTTAAACTGGGATTTTGTTGGTGTTCTGTAAAGCAGGGTTTCTTGACCACTGGGCCGAGGACCACAAGTGGGCCGTGAAGCACCCATTGGTGGTCCTTGGACCTATACCGAGGGGAGCCAGCGGTCTGTAGAGGACCAGAGATGGCACTTTATCATAAAAAATCAGTGAAAAAATAATTGACTTAACAATAACAAAATATAAAATGTTTTCAGACTGTTAACATTAATACAAGCCCCACAATAACAGTGAACAAAGGCCGCTTCGTCAGTTTTTTTGCCCTTTGCCTCTAGAAACACCTGACCTTTCAGTTGCCGACTCGCACTAGTATTCTGCTGAGATTTCATGTTCACTGATACACAGCACGTATTGTAAGAGTAGGCCCCCACATATCACTGTGATGAAAATTTCCCATAAATGACATTTTTAAGCTAAAACGTTGAGTTTTGTTTTCTTGTGGGCCTTCATGCTTTCTAGTGATAAACATATGGGCCTTGAGGTGGAAAAGGGTGAGAACCTCTGCTGTAAAGCATCCGGCCTCGCAACATCAGCTACGGCAGACCGAATTCGTGATTGCTGGATAGGTCGATTCTAAACTCAACCGCGAGGTGGCGCCAGAGGATCAACGATCGAAGGAACCACAAAACCCGCTCTTCTCGATTTACACACACAAAAGACGGTTCTTCAAGTTCACGGCTCTATATAGAACCATGAACACTCAAAGAACCCTGTGCATGATTAAAGGAGTCTTTGCATCGTGAAAGGATTTTTCATATTGCAGATTTGAAAATGGTTCTATGTAGCACCAAAAAGAGTTCTTCTATTGTTACAAGCTTGGCATTGTCACAACCAGATACAACACATTCTCCATCAATCTGAAAAACAATTTCACGATGCAAAGAATCATTTAATCATGCAGAGGGTTCTTTGAGTGTTCATGCTTCTGTATGAAACAGCACACAGTCGACAACTATGCTTCGTTTCAAAATGTACAACACATGAAGAGCATAAATAAACATTGTAGAGTCAGAGGAAGCAAATTCCTCATTCAACAATAAGGAATTTTCTTCCTCTGACTCCAGTGGCTGAAATGTCATTATGCAGAAAAGGCCACTCAAGCGAAATACTTTCGACTGTAGCTGTGTAAAGAGTGTAGTCTACAGTTAGTCCAACAACTCATTTACGACACTCTACAGTGGAGTGAAAACAGAGCCACACAGATAAAAAATAATGTTTTGCTTCCGACCCAAAGTGCTGCGTCTGAGCGAAGAACCTTTGTTTATTGTATGAACGTTCTGGGGTATGATCAGCAGGTCTGGCTATTTCTGTGTTAAAGTTTCCAGCCGAAGCCGCTGGCGTTCGCTTGCATGAAGAGGTGGGTAGAGAAACCATAATCCATATATCAGTAGAAGTAGTTACTTCAGTTAAATAATGGCTCAAGTAAAAGTGATAATAGTATACCAAACATCTTTAGTAAACTCGGGTAAAAACTAAAACCTCAAGCAGGCAATGTCGAACTGCAGTGGAAGTTTTCAGCAGGTTCCATACAGCAACTATCAACATAGGGATTGAGAATTGGTCATTTTTCTCTTTTTGGGAGCTATTTATGGTCTGAAGTAAAATGCTAAAGCTTGGTCGATGGAGGTCTAACTAACAACAAATGGGTACTGTTTAATCAACAGAACAGATATATAAATGTAAATACCTGAAAATTAAACTGAAGAAAAATAGAAATAGAAAATAGTCAGAAAAAACACATCAATGTATCCACCGAGTTGGCTAAAGTCTGTCTAGTTCAAAATGAATTTTTTTATGCAGATACTTAAACAAGGGTTTTAGGGCCGGACTCGGGGACATGGACTGAGCATCAGTGTCAGTGGTGAATCAACACTGGAGGATCTTTTTAGCCTAGGTTTAGTCTTAAACTGTAGTGTCTAGGTCTACTCCTCCATTCTCAATGCATCCAAAAGATGGCGACAGAGATCGTTTCATTGACTGTGAGACAACAGGTCCAAGTATCACGGTCATTTACTTTGGCAAATTTTCCGAGATTGCTGTTTTACAGCCAAGCCTGTGTTGAGTAAGCCAGGAAAGTTATCAAACACATAGAAGAATGTCTGTATAACCTGTAAGGCAAACCGTTAACCACGTAATGTCGAAACGATGAAAAGGGTTAAAACTATACCCTGAGAGAGTGAGTCTGTTTCTTTCTGCCTTACATTTCAAAATGATAGTTCAAAAGTGCGATTTTTATATTTATTGTTGTTTATTCCAGGCTATATTAGTTGATGAAAATGCTGCATCGACTGAATTCTGACATATAAGCCTATAATAATAATAATAATAATAATAATAATAATAAGAAGAAGAAGAAGAAGAAGAAGAAGAAGAAGAAATCGCCAACGATTTTTACCCAACTTGTTTACCCTTTAAGCTTGTTGTGATGGTTATACATGTGCAGTTTGGATATTATCGAAGACATCCGGAATTTTATATATTTTAATTTTACGTCAGTCTTTACTGCTTCATATCGATATCACGTCACCTTCTGATTGGTCAATTTATTTGCGCATAAGTGTTTTTATCAGACTAAACTTTCACTCCTTCACAATGTACCTTTGAATACTTGAGTCCAGTCCGGACAGAGATGTATCAAGTACTGTTTTTTCTCTCTTTTTCTCCTCTCTGTATCTCTCTCTCTCTCTCTCTCTTTCTCTGAAATGTAGAAAGGCTCTTGTGTTTAGGGTGGACAGTATCGGTATGTGACCTTAGACCATCAGCAAGTTTTTGAGAGCTTTTCTTTGGCTGTTTGGAGGACCTGGACCTATCAATCACAACTCGGAGGCTCTCAACACACACCGCTTTAAATAAGACATGATTGAAAATCAGCTGCAGTTCCTGCGCTGGATGAAACTTTATTATATTTTATTCTTTAATAAAAGTGGCCTCACTGCCAGTTGTAGGCTTTCGTCGTTTTTAATCTGCAAACACGGATTATATTCACAAATACAGCAGCCCAGTGCTGCACTAACCCGGGCTGTAGTTTGATAACGAAAAATGCTGGCCCGTTACAGAGCCTACAAAAACGGGAAATCGACACAAAATTCTCTCCAGAATGTATTCGGAATGTGTACGCAGTTTACTTCATTAAATAAAGTCCGAGCTCGCTTAATCAAAACAAGACCTGCAATAAAACAGCGCTAAGTCGCACTTCGGCTGCAGTCAGATCTGGATGTGTGGAAATGTCGCTCTGTATGTGGAGGGTAAAAGGGTTGGGAAGCTTTTCTCAGGAGTGTTTCTACCTTCTCAGGTGTAGCTCAGCCTCACTCAAGCAGGGCGCAGTGCGCATGCGCCGCGAGGTGGCACTCTGTTTTTATGACCAGGTGAGTAGATTTTGTTCAGGTAAAGCGTGGAATTTGGCTTAAGGACAGGAGCCTAAATGAGATAGTACGGCGCGTGATCTGTCCTCTCCAGCAAGAAGACTCGAGCATGTCAATAGTGGGCAAAATGGGTGATTGGCAGGTACGTGTTCTCCCTTTGGGTCATAAAGGTGTGTATGTGTGGGTGCGTGCTTGTACTTTTCAACACAGGTAGTGGAGACTTAATGCGGTGTTGCCACTGCCACTTGTAAAAGGAATCGATTCATTCTGCTTCAGCCGCTGTTTAAAGTGTCAGAAACACATTCCTGTATCACAGCTTGAGTTAATAGTGTGGAATCTGTTGCTTGAAACGAAGTGAAAATTGAAAACGCGTGAATCGTTGTTTTTTTGTAAGCAGCTCTTAGAGGCGGGGGTTACAAGGCCAACAGAACTGCAAGAATTTGCTGGAAACTTTTTGGCATGTCATAAAAATGTATTTTGAAGGATAGTGGTGTGGTTTAAGGTGATACATCTCAGTTTTCAACGGTTTTCAGTAACAATTCTTGGGCGATAATTCCGTACTTTTCAAAACACTGTATATATGTATGTATGCATATATGTTTCATTCTTTTGGATAAACCATATATATATATGCATAGTTTGATGCAAGTTTTTAAACCCCCAGCTGCACCTTTTCACATTTTTACTCACTGATTAATACGATTAGGGTGTGGATACATCTTAATATTTTATATAATATTATAATATTGCAGTATATATTAATCTAATAATCACACAATATGTTCTGATGAGTGAAGAGGACTTGGAAAATGTGCAGTTTACACTATGCAGTATCAAACGAAAACACCGACAAATTAGCAAAATGAATTACATTCAGCTTCACGAGAGCTAGTGTGAAATAATAGTCGTCATTAACTAATTAGTTAAGAATGAAATTAACCAAGTAAATTACATGAACTAATTTTGAATGATATTTAAAAAGCTCCCCAAACGACAGTGCAGCATATAGGCCTATTCTGGAAGAGGCAGAGAGTTATTTGAATTATATTTTGCATTGTATAGCAGGACGCGGAATTTTCCCACCTCGGTCAGCGAGTCGGGCGCGTGAAAACATTCTGAGCTGAAACATCTCTGCAAAAGAATGCAGCGAGATTGGCCACAGTTTCAGCTCAGCCTTCTGCTTTCAACAGCCCGGTTTCAAAGCCACACACTCCCAGCCACCTCTGATGCACTTTTCTCTGCCATGATTGTCACCGTGAGCGAGTTTCATTTCGCCCTCTCATTAATGCCAACTGCTGTTTTCAGGGCTTCTTTATGTTTCTTTTTACCCCCACCGAAATGATAATAGCGACCTGAAATGGAGAGGGCCAACGCCTAAAACCTGTCGCCTATGCCTCTTTGCGCCATGACCCGGGGTCCCGTGGTGCTCGTGTCGCCGCTGTCGCGGGGCCAAACCCCTCTCGTCCACTCCCTCATTCACATTTAACGACCGCACGTTGTTGTGTTAATTATTGACATCTCCAAAACGCTGCTCTCAATGGAGCTCCTGTACCTGCACAAGAATCGACCTCTTTGCATAACAGTGACAGCAGCGTCTCACGGGCTCAGCTTCTCAATGGGCCTAAAACAACAGTTTACAAAAATCAGTGCGCCAACAAAGTATCTGTGGCGACGGAGAGGCGTGCTGTATTTGCATTGCACCGAAAAAGCTCACTGATATGCTAAAGAATCTTAGTTTTGAGAGCTGTCATTGAGCTAATGCTGCCCAAACCCGAAACTGTGCAGTGTCTTTAGCCTGTATTATAACAATGGACTAAAGGTGTGCCCGCGTTACTTTCTCTAACAGTCTATTTTACCAGTTCCACTATGAACAAACTATAATAACAGTCTTTTATTAAGGTATTTTTTTCTAACGTCCTTTATATGTCAAACACAACCCATCTTATTTATTGACACATTTCTGAACGACTTTTACAGTTACTTACTGGTTTATCTCGTAGGTTTTTCTTCTGTACAGTCTAAGTGCTTCTGTTTAATTCTTCTTGCAAACTTGTTCTACTCGTATCATAGTTCGACTATCTTTGAGTCTTGGTTGCTCTCAGGTTTCTTCCTCATGCTCTTAGGGAGTTTTTTGCTGCTACTGTCAGCCTCGGTTCGCTCATTAAGAGTAAGGTGATTTGTGACAGTGTCTTATAAAGTGTTAAAAAAAAGCGTTATAAATAAAGTGAAAGTGAGTTGAATTTCTTGTAGTAGTGCGATCACTCCACAGATACTGTACCTCGGCGAGTTGGGAAAAACAAAGCTCCCCAAACACTGCAATTCTCTGAGCAAGTTTTTTACCTGAGTGTGTTCATTGGTGTTGGCTAGATGAGAATCAAGCTGATATGCTAATGAGGGAGTTCTTGCAGCGCTGCGCGAGCCTCTAAACTTCCACCATTAGAGGGAGATCTGAGCGCGCGCACTGCTCAGCCCGCCAAAGCCCTGCCATCTTGAGCTCTGCGCACTGGGTGTAAAACTAGGCAAAAGACGCTCTTTGCTCACTCCACAAACCCATGAAAATGCTCTGGAAATTAACTGATAATATTAAATATGAAGATTGCGAGGTAAGAAAGTTTCTTTTTTAAGGACTTTTGTTGTAAAGGAAAAAAAAAAAATTGTGTACATTTTTCAGCTGTGATTTTTTTTAAGAGTGGGCTTTATTATTTTCAGTGGTATATGCGTTTATGAAAGTGCTGCATATGCAATATGCATGCTCAGTTGTTCTAGTTGCTCTTTTAATAATAATAATAATAATAATAATAATAATAATAATAATAGTTAACTAGTAAAATAACATTTCTGTAAAAAAATATCTTTGGCAAAAACTGCCAATGCATTCAAAAAATAAAAATAAAAAACAGAATGTTGTTACAACATAGAAATATGTGAACATTTGTATATATGTTATATTTAAGTTTATACATGTATAATTTAAAAACAAAAAATAAATAATAATAATAATAATAATAATAATAATAATAATGCATTCATTTTTTTGGTGTTTGAAATCAATCTTTTTCTGAGAACTGCGTCTTCTCTCCTCGTGTTGTGGCTGTCCATGTCTTTTAAAGCTGTGATTTGGCTCTGTTAGCTCGGGTGGAAAGTTGGGACAGTGCTGTTTGTGGAGCTTGTGGAGTGGTGCAGCCAGTCGAACGTGTTTTTGTCCGCCTCTGGAGGACAGACAGACACAGTGCGGAAACTCTGCCTCTTCTTTCCCACGGCTCATTCTGGGCTTGTCTTGTTTTATTTAGTTCGTTTTCAGTCGGCGAATGCTCGGGCCTGAAATTGAAATCGTGTTTTTTATTAAGAAACAGGAGTCAGAAAAAGGAAAAGTTGATTGCGTGCGAATGAGCTGAGCGGAGGAGGGGAGAGGAGGTTTACTGTCTCCCTCGCCGAGTGAGTGTGTTTGTGCAGTGAACGTGGAGTCGTAAACTTTGGAGCTGCTTAGCTCAGAGAGCCATTTTAGCCCTTGCTGTTTGAAGCCATGCGGCCGAGGCTGGATTCTCTGGGAGAAACTCGGGAAGGCCAAGCGCTCAGAAACCACGGAAAGTGAAGAGAAAAGCAGCGGCGCGAGCAGCACAAAACATGCCGACCGAAAAGCCCTCAGCCTTCGCCGGATTCTCACAGCAGTCGGAGGTGCACATTGTTTCCTTTCCTTCCCCTTCGTTCCTCGGTTCTTCGTTCCCGTCCTCCTCCCCCCTCTTGTCGTTCTGTCGTTCTTTCACTTTTGCTCTCCCTCGAACCTTTTAAAACGTTCCCCCCCTCTCTGATTCGTCAGACGCGAGAGAATGTCCCTCTTTTTGTCTCTCTCCCTCTCTCCCTCCCTCTCTTGCTCTCTCTCTCTCTCTCTCTCTCTCTCACCCACTCCCCCTCTCTTTCTCTCCCCATCTCTGATTAGATATACTGATTCCTCATTCAATGGACGTCATTTAGTGCGGAGTCTGCCTTGAGTTGCTTCCTCGCTTCACGCTCGATTTCCGACCATTCTTCCCTTATTAAGTATTCGTGTAATATTAATAGTCATGAATATCTGCTATTAGGAGTCCGAAAGGAAGAGGCAGCTCTTTGCTAAATATGCGCCCGAGCGAAGGAACAGCTCACTGAGAGAGCGAAGGCGATGGAAAGGGGGATCTAAGAAACTTTAAAAAAAAGCAGCCCAATCCGCCAAGACCTAAAACTGCATTTATTTCCTTTTTTCTTTTTTTCCTTTTTTCTTTTTTGTTTCTAACAAATGAAGAACATTGGGAATTGTACCCAAGCTCTGATGGATTATCGTGCTTCTGCTTCTTCTCGTATTTGAACACTGGGACTCGACGCACAGAAAGAAAAAAAGCGCCTCGGTGCTGTGGCTCTTTATTCCGCCTCGCTCGCTCCGGTTCCTCACTGAAATTTTTCTCGCGTTCTCCAGAAACGCCCGGAAATCTCTTCAGATGTTAGTGCACAGCTTCTCCGCGATGGTGAGTGAGTGGCTGGCGGGGTGAGGGAGTAGAGGACCGCGCGCTGTTGTACGCCGCCTCTCCGTTTCTTTTCTTTTTTTTCTTTCATTTATTTTTATTATATTTTTTTTACCTGCACCGTCATGCAAGCCATACTGGGTAGCATCAAATGCTTTTACAAAGACTTTTTACTGGATGTGAGCTCTCGATATTTTCTCTCATTTTATTAGGTCAACTTAATCTTAATTTCGTAAAAATCATGACCTATAATGTGGCATCAACATGTATTATTATTGTGCATGTGACCAGCTATGATTATTATTATTGTCGTTACTATTATGGTAAGAGTGTATTATTATGCTCATTATTATGGTGTTGTTGCCAATTGTCAAATTTCCAGCTTACAGCGCAACTGTAAAAAAAATAATTACATGAAAAAGAAAAATAAATAAATAAATACATCGATCAAATTCTTAAATGTTTTTCCTCCTGTTTTTCTCCCCTCTTCTCCCTTCGTGCAGGATCGCCATGACGGGACCAGCAATGGGACGGCCAGGTTACCTCAGCTGGGCAGCGTGGGTCAGTCGCCGTACACGAGCGCGCCTCCGCTCTCGCACACGCCCAACTCGGACTTCCAGCCGCCCTACTTCCCGCCGCCCTACCAGCCCATCTACCCGCAGTCTCAGGACCCCTACTCGCACGTGAACGACCCCTACTCCATCAACTCGCTGCACGCACAGCCACAGCCGCAGCACCCTGGCTGGCCGAGCCAGCGGCAGAGCCAGGAGAGCAGCCTGCTGCACCAGCACCGCGGCCTGCCCCACCAGCTGTGCCGGGAGTACCGCAGAGAGGTGCTGCTCCCCTCCGGCCACGGCCTCGAGACCACCGGCCTTACAGACTCTATCCCCATCCACGGAATACCTCACTCTTTAGATGACGTGCAGGTAAGAGCACAACTTCGGCAGTGCGATTATATCTGCGTGCTAAACCTTTCTACAAACACCACTGGGTGCAAACTGGAAAAGAAAAGCTGATACTGGATTTTTTAAATGAATGAAGTGCAGACACATTCACATTTATGGAGAAAATTGTAGACATTTTTAAAATACTGGGCGCAAATTATAACAGCAAAGTCAAACGTCAGTTAAAAATAGTTTTACTGCCCAAAAATTGGTGCCATAAACAGCTGTACAGTTTAATTACAGTTTATGGATGTTACCCATTTTCATGCATTTGCCGTTTTTCGCATCTAGAACGTCACATTTTAATTTTATTTTGCAAAATATTTCTCACAAATTGACGACTGAAATTCGTTTGGCGCTTTGCATTTATTTCTTCCTTTTTTCATTCAACCACAATCATGCATATTTATTTATATGCATATTATTTATTAAGTTTTCTTGAAAGCGGGTTTGGAAAGAAAGCGTGCATTTTCAATAAATACGTCAAAAAATAATTACATTTAAAAAAAGAAAGAAAAAATCTAGGAAAATGCAAGTCTTGTATAATTAATATTTGGATGAACTGCTTCGTCATCCCGAGAACAGAACATGCTGTACTGCACATTTTGCTTAATACTGTCTGTCATTTTTTGGACGTGATTCCTGGTTGCCCCACCTCCCTTTCCTTTCCTCCTTAATTTAATTGTAGACTGCCCAGTGAAGAGATTCAGGCGAAGAAAAATAACGAGGCTAAGTGGTCCATTCCACCCGGAACCATTTTGCGCAGGAGTAATAACCCATCTATTCACTGCTTAGCGAGGGATTTTCTTTAATTTATCGCACGGCAGGTGGGATGGGGGAATTGAAAAAAAAAAAAAACGTTCAGGCTATTTAAATAAATGTAATAAATAAATAAATTGTTGAAGGAGTTTCGCTGTCATCTTCCATGTATTTAATTTTTTTACAGCTTGTGGCAGTGATACGTTTTATTGTCCTGCACTCGCCACTGGGCATTTCATAGCGGACTGTCAGAAATTGTGATAAGATAATTCGGTGGAATGGCTCCACGTTTTGCTTAGCAATCTAATTTTGTCAGAGAAAATAGAGGCTTATCTCTGTTTTTTTTATTCACTCCTAACGTCTTCTTGTTTTAACTGCTTTACAGCACGTTGAGGATCAAGGAATTCACATCCCTGACCAGACCGTAATCAAGAAAGGTAAGCAGCTTCTTTCTGAACCTCCTGCGTGTCCGAACTGGCCGCTGAGCCCCATAAAACCCGTCCATTCCTGCTCCCAGACAGACTTGGTTCGTTTGCAGGCCTCTGCTTTGCTAATCGTTTGAAACGATTCACTCTGTGTATCTGTAACTATGTGCTAGTGTGAATCTCGACCTGCTGTCCACGAGCTTGGACTACATTTAAAATGGCAGCCTTAACGCTAGATAAGAACATGGCCACGTATTTTAGAGACTTTAACCACGAGATTGTGCTTGAATTTCAACAGTTTTGCTATAAATTCCTGGTCATTCCGTGCTGCAGAGCTGGCTTTGTCTCGTGTTTGGAGGAGCGTGAATTCAGACAACGAACTCAGACGACTCCGCTGCTGGCAGCTTTCATTTCTTTTCCAAAGCAAAATCTTTGTTAAATTCGACGCGTCTTGAGTGAATATTAAGAGATGTCTCTGTTTTTTTCCATATCTACGCCGTAATTGGTTGTTATATTAGCAATCTCCGGAGTTCGCTTAACTGCCATTGTCTCTATTAGCCTCCGCTGAGCCATTAATGTCACAAGTGATCTATCCAAAAGCGCTCGGCCCTTTGTCTCCGTTTACCGTGCAAAGAAACGGGAACCCCTGCAAAGAAACAACACGCGCTGCACTTCGGATTTGGGCCTTCAGACACGTGTGAGTGAGACAGAGAGAGAGAATGTGTGTGTGTGTGTGTGTGTGTGTGTGTGTGTGTGTGTGTGTAAGGGAATCTAGAAAATGTGCAATAAGCAGCTTGGGCTATTTCAGAAATGAGGTCCATAAGAATAGTGGCTGGTAATTTATAGTCTAGGCTGCTTTTGATTAATGGCAGGCATGTCCTAAATATGTGTCTGAAAGGAATATTAGGGCCTATTATTATTATTATTATTATTATTGTCATATTTTATTCCAAAAAATTAACCTCAAATATCCTCTGACTCTAATAGCTGACCGAAACCCTATTATTTTTTTTCTCTGTGATGAAATTCTGACAAATCATACATGGGCCTCACATAGTGTTTACAGATGCGCTGTTTCTCTCATTACCCCCCTCGGCGGGTCATCCAGGCAGTGTCCAAATCGCAGCAAATCCCGCGCACGTTCCGCTGTCATATTCTCTAAGCCTGCTCTGCAGTCACCATCGCGCTAATATTAAATATTTTGATGGCTGGGCCACTTCATTACCCGAGGCACATTCGAGCAGTTACATTCATGAGCTGAATGAAAAGCCACTGCTATCGTATCTATTTTTCTTTCACCAGGCGCCTTTTTCTGAACCCCCCTCCCCCCACCACCTCCGATAAGAACATATTGCCTTTGATTCCACAGGCCTACGACGAGATGCTGTGCATAATCTTATTCCATATTCTGTCTGGGTGCATAGCAATTCATCATCTACCCCCACCTCCACCCCACCATCTCTCCATGCCCATTTGATGAGACTGAAGGTCCCCATGATCGTGTCCTGTTCTCTTTCAGGTCCGGTTTCCTTGTCCAAGAACAACAGCAACGTGTCGGCCATCCCCCTCAATAAGGATGGGCTTTTCGGCGGTGTGGTCAATCCAAACGAGGTTTTCTGTTCGGTCCCTGGCCGCCTGTCCCTCCTCAGCTCCACGTCAAAGTACAAGGTCACGGTAGCAGAAGTGCAGAGACGCCTCTCGCCGCCCGAGTGCCTCAACGCCTCCCTGCTCGGCGGGGTGTTGAGAAGGTGAGCTTTTGCACCCCCCCCCCAACCTCAACAAATGTCACCAATAATTACATCCGACCACTCGATTGTTCGCTGTCCAAACAGAAAAAAATGGACACACATTAGGGATCTCAAACGCTGCCTACCTACTTAAGCCCAGGCCAAAGCTGATTATCTCCACACAAATATTATTCACCTGCAATGTAATGATAAGTCCAACCCTGGTCCAAATTGTGGTTTAGTTTGGGGAAAAATGGCCTACACCCCAAAAAAAAAGGAAAGCACAGCTAAGGTGATGCAAAATTGCCAAAATAAAGAGAATCTTAACACTCTTGGTCTCCTCCAGCATCAGCCCGCCAGGACGGTCCTGAAATAACGCAACGCATGTAAATACACACAATTACAATTCATTATTCAAAACACCCCATCAAATCTCAACCAATACTTGTGTGTGGGTTAAAGCAGACGGACTTTATTTTACTGGTTCGGAAACATTTGGGCATTTGGGCACAGCAATCATTTATCTCCACTCTCAAGGGATGCATGTGTAACTGCAACATTTTGGGTGAATGCGCTGGCTCCAGCACCCTGCTATCTTAAAAATGGTGTTCAACGCTGCATCTCATGACTGTGCGGGAAGACCAATAATAGCTCTAATAACTAGCGAACTTGAAAGCAGAGTGACACATGTAGTTAATGCTATATGCCTGTTTTTGTGTGTTTTCCACCATCAGGGCAAAATCTAAGAATGGAGGAAGATCCTTAAGAGAGAAACTGGATAAAATCGGATTAAATCTACCGGCAGGAAGGCGCAAGGCCGCAAACGTGACCCTGCTGACGTCACTGGTGGAAGGTAAGGCGCATTAGGAGTGTATGAGTTCCGGTGCGCGTTAAAAGCAGGTGCTTAACACTGCTGCGCGGGGCCTTTGGAAATCAGCATACGCGCCCATCCGTGTAATTTGGATTGAATTTGGGCCCGCAAGCAACAATGCATGAAGGATATATGTATATGTTTGGTGAGAAAAGAATTGGGAGATAAAAAATGGAGGACTTGAGGGCGATTTTAGGCGCCTTTTTTAGTCAGTGTGTGAACAGATGGCTTGGTGCGGTTTGCAGAGTTCACTTCATAGCTTTTAATTTTATTTTTTATGAAGTCTTATGAGCATCGAGCATGCGCTTTGATTTTGCTGGTGAGTGTATGGTGGAGCGTCAGTAGAGATGGCGACTGATTGGTTGATGATACTTTGACTAAGATTATTATTATTATCATTATTATTATTATTATTATTATTGTGCTACACTCGTATGTGAGTAAGTTTGTATGCATGCATTTATAGCCTACATGATGGTTTGATGGCACAGGAATGACCTGTAGTTGTAAGCCTATTATAAAATATAAATGAGTTAATTATGTCGCGGCGCGAGGATGCCATTGCTGCTGAATAAATCCATTTTGCTTGCAAAGTTGAAGGTGATTATTCCGCGCGGTGGTATTTGGTGTGCCATTGGGCTTTAAAGGTGAAAGCTTGAGACGGTTCATTGGTTCCTGTTAATCATTGTCGCTGAAGAGCGAATGCAATATTCATCGTGCTTCATTGAGATTTGGTTTTGTATGGTAATGAGCCTGAAGAAATGTATGATTCCTTCACGATAAAGCGCAGGGGGGGGGGGGGTGGGCTGAAGGGAGGCTGGAGGGTGCGATGATTTGGTTTAAGGGACAGTGGCTCGCTGAAGTGCTGTTATTGTTTATGATCCGCTCCATTTTATGGAAAGCGGTTTACTGGACTGGAGCTTTGATGCTAATTGGCGCATGCGTCCTTCCGGAGCCTAGACTTATGACAGGAAGGCCTGCAGTTAAAACCCAACTGTTTCAGGAAATTAAAACCAAAGACTTGAAAAAATCAGCCGAACGGCCCTGAATGGAATGAGCCGGTGATTCTCAGGGCTAAAGTATGTAAGAGACAGAGGGTTACTTGCAGCCGTTTGAAATTGCTTTTCCTATGTAGAACAATCTCCTCAGTTTCCAATAACGGTGAAGGGGATTGCGAATCAATGTCATGGTGTCTGACTGACTCCCATTATCAAATGTTATTTACTTTCTGTTGCTTTTCTGGTATTTTCCTCCTCATGGAACGACTGATATATTTTGACATGCTTATTGATAACATTCTCCAACGAAAAATGGAGGAAAAGTGCTATTAACGGTTTGGCAATCTTCAGGCCATGGAAGGATGTCCCGTTCTTTGGCCGAGAACGTTAATTAGATGATAAATGTGCTAAATGAAGGTGTTAATTGGTCTGCATTTGATGTCAGTAATTTAAAGTCATATATTACACACTCAACCCCATTTTCTCCTTCTTAGGCGAAGCTGTGCATCTTGCCAGAGATTTCGGTTATGTATGCGAGACCGAGTTCCCGGCCAAGGCAGTAGCTGAATACGTAAACCGTCAGCATTCCGACCCAAATGAACAAGTCCAAAGAAAAAACATGTTATTGGCAACGAAGTAAGTGCTACTTTTGCTTTTCAAATGCCAGAAAGTGCTTTCGAGTCACTGCAGTGTTTACAACCACAGTTTTTTATTTCTTTTCAGCACAAACACATGTTAATAGACGTGCTAAGGTTTTTTATTGGTATTTGCAAACAATTCACTTAGCAATTGTCATGTACTTCTCAGGCATTAATTTCATGGGCTTGTAATATTTGTTTAAAGATTCAGCAACTGTGTGAACCCTAATGGCAAACACATAACCATTCCTAACGCACGCACAGTCACGCTCAAGCTGGAACATGAACACTGTGCTTCTCTAGCAAGATTCTTGAAAGTCAAGACCCAAGATCTCTGCCATTTCTCAGAAGCCCAGAATAACGAGTGCAGAAATGAGAATTGATGGCAGCCCCATTGATAGGGTTCCCTCCAAACAGAGCTCTGTGACTGACGCCCATATTTGACTCCCATTCAGCTGAACTTCGGTTCCGCTGGTTCTGATCTGACAGCGTAACCGGCTGTCTCATTGATTAGGGAATACGACACACTCGACGACATTTGAGAAAGTGTTACTAATGCATTTTTTTATGCCGAACCTTCAGTTTTGATTAAGGTCAGGTTGACACTAACTGTGCTTTGCAAACTCATGGCCTTTTTTGACGCCGCCAACCCAAACCTCACACGCTGCTGCATTGTGTCTCCTTCTAGACAAATCTGCAAAGAATTCACCGACCTGCTCTCCCAGGACCGCTCGCCCCTGGGGAACTCTCGCCCGCAGCCCATCCTGGAGCCCGGCATTCAGAGCTGCTTGACCCACTTCAGTCTCATCTCGCACGGCTTCGGGACGCCGGCCGTGTGCGCGGCCGTGACCGCGCTGCAGAACTATCTGACCGAGGCCATTAAAGCCATGGACAAAATGTACCTCAACAACAACCCCAACAGCCACTCCGAATCTGGCACTAAAGGCGGAGACAAAGACGAGAAGCATAGAAAGTGATCTCCAGCCAACGTCCAGGCGGCCACACTATTAATGTTACAAGTACATATTAAACAAAAATCCCCACTAGTGACCAAGGCGACAGTCGTGCCACTTATTATTTCTTTCCCCGAGCTTGATTCGCAAACGTGTTTGAGTTGTTTTCAAAACCACGATCCAACCTGGAATCGACGGAAAACCCAGTTCTCCAAATAAATGCGATGTGACCGGATGGAGCGTGAGCGAAGGAAGAAAAAATACTAGATTTGCCACTCGAGGACTTTTAATGAACTCCATCTTTTTTATTATGAGCTCCAACGGACTGAAATCTAGCCACCCCTTCTCAATCCACGATTGTAGCCATGTGACTAAAAAAAGAAGCTGAAAGAGGATGATTTTCTATCAGTATTGTGAATAATAAACTTGAACGAAAGAAAAAAAAGCTCCACAGTTCCATTGCCATGACTTCAGACATGAGACGTTTCACACTGAGCGACCAACTTGAACTTTTGAAAAATTTCAACACGATTCACGGTTATATGAGGGAATCTGTGTTCATGTATGTATATATTTATTTATGTGTAATTTAACGGGAACTGTAAATATGGTGCGTCTGTTGAAACTTCTTTTTTTATTTATCTGGTGCCTCCTGTTTTAGTGGGTTTGAATATTCGCTTAGTTCTTCATGTGGTTTTATGGTTCTTAGAAAAAAACAGAAGTTTGGGGTTATTATTTTTTTTTCTCTGGGATATTTCAACTCAGCCCTCTTGTAGCATGTTGAGGCGTCATCAAAGCAAGTGAACAAATTGAATAGAAATAAACGTCCACTTTTTTCTCTATATATCATCCTTATGCCATTCAGTTTTAAATCGAAAAAAAGAGATGACAGAAAGACCCCGATGAGACTAGTTTTTGTGTTTCTATTTTCTTGTTTTTTATACGAGCTTTTATGTGTTGTGCCAATCAGAATACGTTTCACCTCTTGTTCTTCCCTCGAAGCACCATAAGAGCAATAAATGGATAGCCTATTGTCCTCAGAAATCTTTACTTTTTTTTCTTCACAAAATGATAAAATAAAAAAATTAAAAAAGGAAAAAAAAAAACATTTGGGACCATCTGATATCTTGTATGTCCAATGTCGAATTGGAGGCGGTTTTATCTGTATTGTATAGGCCTGTGCTGGCAATAGTTCCCATGCCTGTCAATGTATTATAGTTATTTGTTGCCCAGGAAAAAAATAAATATTTGATACGCTTCATGTCGATCTTTTTATTCATCTTTTATTTGTATTCAGTGCTCGCTGCACCCGGGTATATTTTCGTGCTTGGTAGTTTCTTTCTTTTCTTTTTTTTCCTTCCTTTTTTATTCATCACGGTTAGTGTAATTGAGTTTAGCTCTCCCTTGACGATTGCTCCATGCAATAAGCAGTTGAACCCATTGTTTCCCTCAAGTATAATAATAATAATAATAATAATAATAATAATAATAATAATAATAATAATAACTTCCAACTCGTTCAGAGCACGGGATCATTCAAATATGGCAAGAAGCTTTTTTTTTCTTTCTACTTGATTCTCTTTTTTAAGCAAGCCAAATGACACAGAAAACAATGGATTCTCAATCGTGTTTGAAGTGAGCGTGTGTAGTTTGAGCCCTGGAGCGAAACGGCTCTTAAAATCAGTCAGATGTATAAGCCTGCGCTGAAGGTTAGTGCGTTTCGCCATTTCCACGCTTTTATCGGTGTGCTGTTAGGCGCCACTTTGTTTTGATACGTTCTTTCAGCCGGCTTATGCTAAAATATGCGATGATATAATGTAATACCCCGAGTGTGATTCGATCACGCTGCGTTTGGATAACATTTTTTTTTCTTTTGGGTGAATCCCACTTCAAAAATGTAGCCTGTTCAAACGAGAAAAAACAGGCTCGCTTTCTGGAGGAATGTCAGGGTGAATGAATGGCTGCTGCTGCTGTCGTGTTTTGGTCTGATTTCACTTTGCTTCCTCTGGTCAGTCGTTGGGTCGTTGGGTCGTTTGGTATTCATGCGTCTAATCACGTGCTCTAAACAGACCTTATATGCAGTGGTGATGTAGGAGCGCGAGCCATTGCATAACTGCAGCTCCAATGAAGTCTGATTGTTTATTGATAGCAGGCACCTCCAAGTCCATCTCCAGTGGAGCGTACGGAACTGGGTGCCCCCTCTAATGCCTCCCCCATTCCTCCCCCCTCCGCCCCCGTCCCTCTTCCCCTCAGCCTGTGCACTCTTCCTGGTGGCGTTTGACGAAAGCTCCGCCGAGTGTGCTGCACTCGTGCACGCTTCCTTATTTTTAGCCCGGGACAGTGCTGCTCGCTCGCCTGCTCGATCGCTCGCTTCACGTGCAGGCTGAAACGCAGCCCGGGCTGCACGCGCCCTCGCCGCCGTGATTGCTAAACGGAGGGCGGCAGCAGGTGAGGAGAGCCATTGTCTGTCAGGACTGTTTTGCTTGGCTCCATCTCACATTGCGTGTGGGATCCTCACCTCGGGCGCAATGGCTCGCGCAGAGAAAGAGGGATACCCGGCTGCTCCCTTCTGCACCGGCCGGAGGGGGGGATAGAAAGAAAGAAAGCAGGAAAGAAAGAAGGAAGAGGGGAGGCACAAATAAGTCAATTTAAGGGGAAAAAAACAACAGTCGTTGGTAAAGAGTGTTCATAGGAATTAGGAATTCCCTCACGTGTGTGTCATTAGTACTTAATGTCATTTAATAAATGAGGGTCAATGATTTTTTTCCCTCTTCTGTGAGCGAAACGAAAGCATTCGAAACAGCATCTATCACAACAGCGGCCTATCAAAAGCGAATGTGTGTATGTGTGTGTGTATGTATGAGAGAAAGACAGTTATTGTATCAGTCTATTAATTCTTCCTTAATGAATGGAATGTTTCTGTTGCATTCTTTTGTTTACGTCCACGCAGAGCCTGCGCAAAGACGCATGACAATCCATTTCAACTGAGAACTTTGTAGGCTTTTTTTTACTAACTGCAATTTTATGTCGACTGCTAGAAGTAGTTTAACAAAACAATGCCTGGCAGCGAGAGCGGCGTGTGTAAAAAAGCAGCGCGTGGTGAAATCCGAGCGCATCGCAATACCCTGCTGAATTTGGTTAATTCACTCAGTAAAGCGCCGGTACGAGCTATATCAATTACACATGATTCCATTGTAATAATTAACATGTGTGTCTTTTTGTGCCCTTTTCCCAAAACCATTAGCCATTTTTGTTACTTCATTGAATTATGCAGCAACATCTTCGATTTCAAACTGACTCATGCGTTTTAGGGGGAAAATGGAATTAATAATTGGAGAAGAATATATATATATATATATTATATATATATATATATATATATATATATATATATATATATATATATATATACATGTAATCACGTGCTCGCTTTTATCAGAGAGAGAGAGAGAGAGAGAGAGAGAGAGAGAGAGACTAGCAAACAGACAGCATATCCATTGGTTTCACTCTCTATTTACTATTTAGTGATCATGATTGGACAGTCTCTCTCTCTCTCTCTCTCGCTCTCTCTCTCTCTCTCTCTCTCGTTATGATGGCCTTGCTTTAAAACTCCAGCCGGAGTTTAATTACACCAGACCCAAACTCAATAACTCGGGATGGTCTCGGGAACAGTAATTTAAAGCGGGCAAAAGCGACATATTCAACAGCGCTGACAGAAAATTACTTTAGCCAAATGTCAGCGCCGCATGGGCTAATGTTGGCTAACGCGCTTTAACGGATGAAGTGGAACGAAATAAAGCGCAGCGACGTCGGATTCGTTTGTCTAAAGATAGTTCAACTTTTTTGTGACAATAACCATCATCAAGTCGCGCTCATTTCCACCTCTGCTGTTCCAACCCGCGGCCGTCAACCTGCCACTAGCCAATGCAGATGCAGTTCCCTGCGTAAGCAATGTAAATAAGACGAAAACATGAGCAATCATGAACAGCAGTCAGAGAAACATAGTTTTAGCACCACTGATATACTCCTGTGAGATTTCAGTGATGTTTTCCTGTTTTTTTGGACTCTTTTGTGGCGGGTTGATTCGTATTCACAGGATACGAGCTGTCCTGCATATAAGCTGGACATGGAGGAATGTCTTGAGTGAGAGAGCATGGACATCACGGTCAGTGCTGGACCTATTACGGGCTTCCGTAAGCCTTCAATGGAGCGCAAAATGGCTAATTGTACTCGACACCTAACCTCAAGCCCTCATCATTTTGGGGTCCCCCCCTCATTACTGACCCCACCCGAGTGAGCAGGCCTGGGCCTTCGCGAAGCCAACAGAGGTCAAAGACTCGCTCCTGATTACTTGACACATCAGGCAATCGATTAGAAAACACTACATGGCTTTGAATAAACAAACGGACGCAATGAAGGAGACAGGCAGACTGTCAGTGTTAGTTATGGAATATAGGTGTGGATATATGGTGAAGAGGTGTGGCCAGACACAACAACAACAACAACAGCAAAACAACAACAACAACAACAACAACAATAATAATAATAATAATAATAATAATAATTTAAACATAATGGTGAAAATAATAATAATAATAATAATAATAATAATTATTATTATTATTATTATTATTATTATTATTATTATTAATTAATTAATGAGTTACTTTTTTTAGACTGACAAAATTTAAAATTTTAAAAACGTTTAACCATTCAACACACTTTAAACGTTAAATAGTTAAGATTGGGAAGACAGTGGAATTAAATTAATTATAATGTGAAATATATATATTCATGACTATTCTTCAATCAATGCTTTTCAATGCTATCTTGTCATTGCTGTATCACGATTAATACTACCTTTATTAAAGTTTTTTTTTCAAAATGCATACTTTAGCGGCCATTCTTTTCAAACTTACTCTTACAATTGTATATATATATATATTATATATATATATATATATATATATATAGTAGCTCCTTTGTTTTACTTTTCATTGAAAACTATATTTAGCTCATCACTGTCTGGAAAACTGAGGCCAAAACTTTCTTTTGCTTGACCTCTCTACCCCGCCAGAGAGTAAGACTCATTCACTCATTCAGCTAAGCGTGTATTTTTGCGCGCACCCCAAAAAAAATAAAGGCTCTACAGTGGTGCTAATTTTTCTCCTTTTGCTTAATATAGTTGATATTCCAGTTTGGAGCTCTCTCTCTCTCTCTTTCTCTCTCCCTTCTCCCTCCCTCCCTCCTTTCCTCCCTCCGCCAGCCGGGGGGAGAGTCGCCGCGGGCCAAACATATGCTTCTTTCCATTGCACTAATCCAAATTCAGCGTGGAGGAATAATTGCTCGAGTGGCCATGGTTTCGCAGGGCTTTGTCCCTCGCTGGCTCCCGTCAGCCAGGCACACGCCATTTCAATCAACTTCTTTTGAGGCCTGTCTCTTTTTATCAAACCTTAGACCCCGCAAATGATGTGAACATTTAACAAACCGCTTCACGCTTCATAAAGAACGCCAACCTGCTCTCTCTCTCCCTCTCTCTCTCTCTCTCTCCCTTACACACTAACACACACACAAAAGAGGGAGGACGACCCACCTTATTATTCATTTCTGTATTTGTTTATTCGTTTGGACTTTTCCGTTCGTCCTGTACTTTAGTCAGCAACGAAATCTCGCGGTATTTCACGCAACGTTTGACAGTTGCCGAGCTGAATGAAAGTGATGCGGCCATAAGCTACAGGGCTTTTGAAGAAATGAATGCTCAGAGAGAAAGTGTGTGTGAGAGAGAAAGAGAGAGAGAGATAGATAGAGAGAGAGAGAGAGAGAGAGAGAGAGAGAGAGAGAGAGAGAGATGCCCTCACTGCCCTACTATCTGGGAAACGATGCTTTGCCTTGAGCCAGTGTTGTCTACAGAGAACAAAACGAAATTCAAACGATAAGAAAACTTGCTTATCTGCGTCAGAACGCGGTTTAGATGAAGCTAATGGAAGAGTTATTGATTTCCATCTTCTTCCATGCGCACTGGATGGTGAAGTCCTGACATTCAGGTGAACTTTAGGCTCTCTTTCGTTTACTGGCCGCATTGCTTTCCCCATCATAAACCCGTGATCGTCCATACTGCTTTAAGTTGGCTAAAGTAGCAAAGTTGTCAGCCTTTAGTGGAGATCACACATATTTTCAACATAACGCCTTCTACATATCAGAGCTGGCTACAGGACATCACTAAATAACTGACATATACGGATTGATTGGATTTCTAGAAGG